GACGAATGCATCGCCGTGACCAGAGAACTGGCCCCATATCAGATCCTCTGTGGGTTTTGATTTACGGGGTCACGGTCAGATACTTAAAGGCTTGCAAAGTAATAACCAGTTAGGCGCACTTCGCATACGGTGGTTTGCTCACATAACGGCTCTCTCGGTAAGCGCTGACTCAGTTCTTCATGTCTCTGTTGTCGTTTCAGCTCCTATCCATGACGCTGGATTATATCTTGTCGTCAGATAGGTGTATGAGAGAATAGCACAATGTTTTGGATCTTTCCAGGCTCTGAGAAAGGCGACGACGCCGAAACGTCAGCCGTAATAAAGTTACTGACAATCTTGGTGACAGGCTCAAGAAGAATATAAAAATAGCACAACTTTTTTCTACTTTCCAGCGCTTGTCATAATTTTGGTGTAGATTTTTTGATGGAACCACCGAAAATTAGCAGGCTCGTCTCGGACATAAATGCATCAACCAATAAATCTTCGGATTTCGGAACTTACAAAGATGGATTATTGTTTGAGACTAATTTTACAAACTAAATGAGTATTGACCGTTTCAGATTAGCAACTTTCGAATATTCCGGGTACAGCCTGGGGCGCCTTGGAAAACCTGAATTATGATGACTTTCATGAAAAGTTGGACAAAGAATAACTTGAATCAGAAACAAAAACAACAACTGGTAAAAAAAGAGAAAAAGCTGCGTCGAACAGCATTCGAATTGCTTGCGAGTTGTTGTTTTGTGAGGTTCGAGTTGACAAAATATGGGATTTGATAGCATTGAAAAATTGATTTGAGAAACTCTAGAAGCAACCTAAGGAAAAGAAAAAATTGCTCTATGTCCTGTAGGGTTTGCTCTATCTATTAGTCACTTGTACTTCTTCGGAGAATAGGTACAAAAATTTAGAAAAATAGCCGAACTTGACCACAGCAAGAAGCATGGGTCGCAAATTTGGGTAATTTCTTCAGAGCTCATTGAATATTATGCAACGATATTACAACCATTAGAAAGTGAGTAAAGTGCTGCATTGAATGCTCCTGGGATCTTTTGAAAATCTTGATTCCATGGCGTTTATTTGAAAAAAGCGACATTACTTTCGGAACGACCTAATATTAGGTCATTCCGAAAGTACTTTCGCCTTCTTCAAACGGGCGCCACATTTGATAGAACAAAGGTTTTTAGGAGATCTTGGATGCGTTCGATGCAGAATTTTATTCTCTTTCTAACTGTTATGAAATTGCTGCAAAACAGTCAATGAGCTTTCAGAAAATAACCAAAATTTGCGACCCATGCTTTTGAGATGGTCAAGTTTCACGATTTTTTAAAACTTTGATATCAATCTTCAGAAGGTGTTCAAGTAACGATTCGATAGAGTAAGCCTTACAGAATACAGAACTGCTTTTTTCCCCTTTTCATATCTTGTCATACATTTTTAACAGAATTTTAACTGATGCTACCGATTTCCATACTTGGGCAGCTAAATCCCCGCAGAACATCAAAAGAAGAGCAGCTCGCGCATTATACGATGCAGCATTTTCTCCTCTTTTTAACAGGTGTTTTTCGTTCTCGATTCGTTTAGTTTCCGGGGATAAATCATCATAACTCATTATTTTAGCGAGCCCCATACCGAAGCCCCATACTGCTGTACCCGAAAAACACGAAATTTGATATTTCAAAACCGTAAACCCTCACTTGCTTTGTAAAATTAATGCTAACCCACAGTATCATCTTGGTAGTCTTGAATTCCGAGAAATTATGTTGTCTGATGCGATTGTTGCTGAGGTGGGCCTGCCAAAATCCGATGGTTCTGTTAAAAAATCTTTTAAAGAATTACGGCGAGTTATAAGAAAGAGGCAAAAGCAGTGCTATATTCTGTAAGGTTTACTCTATCGAATCGTTACTTGAACTCCTTCTGAGGATTGATATCAAAGTTTTAAAAAATCGTGAAACTTGACCATCTCAAAAAGCATGGGTCGCAAATTTTGGTTATTTTCTGAAAGCTCATTGACTGTTTTGCAGCAATTTCATAACAGTTAGAAAGAGAATGAAATTCTGCATCGAACGCATCCAAGATCTCTTAAAAACCTTTGTTCTATCAAATGTGGCGCCCGTTTGAAGAAAGCGAAGTTACTTTCGGAATGACCTAATATATTTGTTTCGAAGTTTCATGCATGGATTCAACAAAGAACCGACATCAACAATCTCTGTGGATGCGATCAAAGCACAGCTTGCAGCTTTTTGGTCACCATATCTGATTTTGCTGCATAGGAAGCAAGATAACAGTACAACAGTCATTTATTGTAGACTAGCTGGCCTATCCGCCTTTGTGCGACCCTGTCAGTACATATACCAATCCTCTTTTTGTACAACATCATCCTGTCCCTGCCCTAATAAGCCAATTTTGAGCAATTGCGGTCGCCATATCTGATCCGAGATCAGCACGCTCACTTACCATCTCCCCTCCCTGTGCCAATACTAGTCCCATGGTTTAGAGTTTGGAAAAAATCAATAAAGGCGGTCGATATCTCGGGAAATCATCTGTCCGATTTGCAATTTTTTCATCTAAAATCTCACAACTTTTTCAAAATCAACAATTTTAAACAAATTGAATTTTCTTGAGTTGAACGAGTTATATTAGGTCGGCGCAAAAGTTTTGTCAGTTTTTTCAATCCATCGGCAATCACGCTAGAATGAAGATAAACAAAGACTTGAAAATGTATCCGATGCAGAATTCCTTCATCTTTCCAGCAGCTAAACTCACATTGTGTTTCATTGCGAGAGTGACGAGATATTTGCTGCAAATTACAACCACTCGTTTTTACCATGTCCAAATTTCGCTAATTTTCAAAATTTTTGCATAAGACTTTCGAAGAAGCACTGATAGCCAGCAGATAGGGCCAACTTTTTGCCAACGGAAGCAATTCTTTGTAGCCCTACAGCTTGTCTTTCGGAATTTCTACGATTTATTTTTTGAAGTGACCAAATTATACATTCAGCCTATTTTGATCTCGTAGAACACAAAATGTTAAGCACTTCAGTCACCATTCTATGCAAATTTTTCTCTTCTTTCTAATACTTGTCTTTTGCCGAGACAGGAGAAATTTGTGGGGAAAATCGCAGTATTTCTCAATTTCAGGAGTGCGCACAAGCGTAACCTATGTTTCAAAATCTTCAAAATTTGGAGCGAAAATCGCTCATTTAATTTGTAATGGTAGCGTTAGTAATAATCATGTGCTGAAACCTCAGTTTTCTGTAGGTTTTGCAGTGTTTGGTGCAATGACAGGTTATGCAATTTTTCCAAAACACAAGACGTTTGGAAAATTACTTAACAAAAATCTGAAAAAGCAGCTGATAAAAAGAAAAAATTGCATAAGTTGGCAAAAGGTTAGCCCTATCTGCTGGCTATCAAGGCTCCTTCGAAAGTCTCATGCAAAAATTTTGAAAATTAGCGAAATTTGGACATGGTAAAAACGAGTGGTTGTAATTTGCAGCGAATATCTCGTTACTTTCGCAACGAAACACAATGTGAGTTTAGCTGCTGGAAAGAGAAAGGAATTCTGCATCAGATACATTTTCAAGTCTTTGTTTATCTTCATTCTAGATTGCCGATGTATTGAAAAAACTGACAAAACTTTTGCACCGACCTAATAACTATCGCAAGCACTCTATGCCAAGTAAAGAAGGCAAGCGAGAGAGACGAGAAAACCTTTGAATTCTGTAAGGTTTTCTTCAGAACCGTATAGTTTGACTTACTAATGTTTCCATATGAGGATGGACAGACATATTTGGCTGCCATTATTAAGTAGCCTATACTTCAGAGGTTCAGAGGCGGTCGTAGCGCCTCATATCGATCGCCTTCATTGATTTTTTCCAAACTTTGAACCATGGGACTAGTACTGGCACAGAGAGGGGAGATAGTAGGTGAGCGTGCTGATTTCGTATCAGATATGGCGACCGCAGTTGCTCAAAATTGGCTTATTAGGGCAGGGACAGGATGATGTTGTACAAAAAGAGGATTGGTATACTGACAGGGTCGCGCAAAGACGGATAGGGCAGTTAGTTTACAATTAATGACTGTTGTACTGTTATCTTTCTTCCTATGCAGCAAAATCAGATATGGCGACCAAAAAGCTGCAAGCTGTGCTTTGATCGCATCCATAGAGAACGTTGATGTCGGATTTTGTTAAAGCCATGCATGAAACTTCGACAAACTTGAAAATCAATGTTTCTTTTGATGCTATGAAGGACAGCTCAGCAGTGGCGGACCGGGTGGAAGGCGTCCCCCCTTCCCCTCCCCCCCCCCCCCCCGAAATAAGTCGCGAAATTTTTGAAACTTACCTATGTGGGTCATAAAAATGTGCAAACGACTTGTTGATTTTTAAAAATATTTTTTAGAATTCTTCAAAAATTCAAATTATCCTTACAAAAAAAATTTTTCTCGGAGTGTGTGGCTAACGCCACGCACCTTTATCTGAAAAAAAAACTTTTGTCGCCCCCCCCCCCCGGTCCGAAATCCTGCGACCGCCACTGCAGCTCAATTGTGCACACCTAGTGAAACAGCAAAACCTTTTTCTGCGCATTTTAGACTACTAAGCAGCTTAAATAAGGTATGCAATAGTTACTTGCAGCTTAGCAACACGTTGTAGCAACCATTTAAAGCACCATAATCATGCTTGTGCACTGTAAATTGTAAGATGGAAGGGAAAGGAGGGGAACCTTGACAAGGATTGAAGAAGCTGTAGAGAGCCAGCGAGCATTACTGAACTTCTGAGCGAAAAAAAGAGCTTTGACAGAGATAACATGTAAAAAACATTTTTTTTAAGTACAAAATAGCTTGGAGACGCTTGAGCTTCCTCTTGCAAACTTGTACTTTGGGAACTAACTTATGACTAAGTTTCTACATAATACTTTGCATGCGCTAAAAAATTAATGTCATACTGTTGGCTATAACCAAAACTTTTACACACCTTCTGATCATGTAAAACATTTATTGCGATTTGCACAAGTTGATGTTGCTTATTTCAGTTTGCCGAATCCATCAGTCGCAGAAAGCGCTCTACATAGTTTGCTAATGATTGGAATACTTGCTTATAGCGCGTTGCCTCTTCTTCGGTCATATGTTTCTTGCAGTTGTTGTAACACGTAACCAGCTTGGTCTCTTCGTCTAATTTGTTCTCCTAAAAATGTTCACGTAAGCAAAAAATTGTTCGGATCATTGAATTTTGCAGATAATAACGACATTTTGACCTCTCAGAAAAAATGGCATCTCAAGGTTAAAAACAACTTTATTTTCATTTTCCACAATCTCAGCTTCGTGTAATTTTCACAAAAAAAATAAACTGAGGTTACCGTGGTCTTTGCATAAGGATATGTATGAAAATAGCCAGCTTGAAAGTTTGATACAAATCTACGCTCGCTATTTTCATAGCGTTTTATAGCAGGATTGTAGGTTCCGATATTAAAGTAGCGCTGTTCAAAAAGTTAGAACAGACAATGCAATATTTTCTCTTCTTTCTTTCTCAAAGTTAATTAACTAGTCTAAATAGATTGGCGGATCATCAATGATGTTGACTCGTGAAGAAAAACGGCAACTGGCCAAAAGTAATGGTTTTCGTTTAGGTGCTAAAGAATTCGTTGAAAGTTCACAACATTTTTTCAGAAAACGTCTTTGCATGTAGCCAACGCAGATTCGAGTACACTTGGCATAAGGAAAGACTGGCGTTTTCGAATTTCCTTCTCAGTATTCACTTATGATAAGGAGCAACCTTCCTAACTATGCCAGGAAAAGGCGAAATTTTGGAAATGCGAATAGCTAACATGAGAAAAGTTGTGATTTATATAAAAGACCGCTCAAAATTGTCAAAAAGCACTGAGTTTCACTGCAGTACACCGAAATCTGCGTCGCAGCAGTCCTTATCCCGATTCAGCGGGGGAGATTTCTCGACGAGCTAAGTATGGTCGAGTGCAAGAAATTACCCATATCGCTAGGCTAAACGCCAACGAAAGTATTTAGCGCGCGGCTATATTAGTGGCCAGCATGTTACGTTTAGCAGTTGTGCTTCATGAGTCAAGCTAACGGTGATCGCACGTGACACGCTCGCGAACGTTCAACCTGCTATATTGGTGATTTAGCGTAGGCGACTCAGAATAGTGCCCTTGGATTTCCCTTAATATCGAAACTAAGATATGGGAATGTGACGCGGTCAATGTGAGTTTGGTGACGTTTTTGAGAAATGAAGAGCGGTACTGTACTTTAATTCACGTCATGCAAAAATGAAAATGAAGCTACAGTTGCCAATGTTTAACTGTAGTGTATAGAAAATAGATTTGTGGCTGAAGTTTATAATTAACTCTTTTCTTTGCAAAATTAGTGCAGCTTTGGATTTCAACAAGGTTAAAAGTAGCAAAGTAAATAGAATGGTGTTCACCTTAGTCAGTGTTGCATGGCACTGATCGTAGCACTTGTCGAAAGGCGTGTGCTTTGCGCGGATTGCGGCAATCTGAGACATAAACGCTGCCGCCCATATTATTTTGGCCGAAACAATAGGGAAGAACAGCAAGGGAAAAATGAAAGCAAGGCACTTCATTTCTTATGAGATGACATAAGCGTTAGCTTATTTTATACTATTCAAACAAACAATCAATGTATTTTGCATATAGCTTAAATTATAGCGAATCTTGTTGGTACGGCATACATGCCATTTTTATGACACTTACAGATTGCCGTTCAGCCATTAATGAGAATCAGGGTCGTAAGATCTTTTGAAATTTGGTCTGCTTGTTCTCAAATGAGGAAGAAGGGAAAGGGATTTGACCAAAGTATACGAAGAGTTTCGGGAGAAGGGAGTGAAAAGAACACGTTTTGCACTTCTTTCATGGTGGAATGTACTCCCATGAAATCGGCTCGGAACCACATTGGACTAATAAAGCAGACACTTAGTTTTTCTTTACTCCTAAGCCTTAAGACTTTCGGTTTGAAAAAAAAAACGTGATATAGATTGCATAGATTAATAAAGACCCTGTCCTGTATGTGCTGGAACGCGAGTTACTTGAAGATAGCTATTGCTGTAATGTTTACTTCAACCTCTGTATTATTTGATAAACAGCTCTGGCACCTGAATCTTGCAAGACATAAAAGTTTTATTTCGTTCGTTTATCTCGGAACTTTTGATACATTTCGAAAAAGAAGGATTATGCGTTTTCTATTGGTGTTTGGGGCTGAAAACACGTTACATAGCGATAATAAAAGCTGGCAGAGGCAAAACAAATTGTGGTTTTTGGAATATGTCGCTCAAAACGCCAAACTGCCCAATTATATTTGGTTTTGTTTTTGGTCTTGCTTTTATGGCCGATCCTTCATGGAAAACTCGATCCCACGGAAAATTCATATTGACTGGATTCGTTCAATAAATTAACTCCAATATTGGATCTGCCGTGCTCCACTTTCCAAAGATTTTGAGTTGATCGAATGTCTGTAGGATATACTTGGGGAATTCGAAATTTTCCATTGATTGAATGAATATCGGATGAATTCGAAAATAAAAAAATAAAAAAAATAAACTCCGAATAAACTAATATCGAATAAATTTGAAAACTGAAAATTCTCGAATGAATAACCGAATAAAACCGGAAAATTAAAAATAATGAAAATTTCTAAAACTTGCTGACATATTCGGCTAAAGCCGATTCATTCATAATCAGCGCCCTGATATCCCCTAAACCAACTTCTAGCTCAAGATAAAGTAGATTTTATCTTCAATCAGCCCCTATTTACCCCCCCCCCCCCCCGTACCAACTCCTAGGCTCGTAGCTTAAAGGCAGAGAAGTTGTGCAACATGAGTATTGTAACTGAGCAAGCTAAACCAGTACAAGATTAGTTTTCGGAATTATTGATTCCTTTATCAGTTTTATCACTCCTTGAATTTTGAGCTGCTAGCTGTGCTGATTCACCTGTATCACCGCTAATCGTCGTTCAACACGAGCGGGATCCAGTGGCGCCTCCATTCGTCCCTGTCGAGAGCGATCGTTGATTAATGTCTTATCATCGCACCAGGTACACGAGGAACGCCCTGAAAGACTTCTATAAAGGACTTCGTGAATGTCCGACCATCAAGTCGGCGCTCTTCCTGTCCCGCGTTTGACGTCCAGCGTTGTCCAATCCGTTACAGCTCTGGTCTAACGATTGTCAGTAATAGAAACGCACCACGTGTCCGGCCACCCCGATTTTATTCTGTTTGGCGTATGCTTCAGCATTCCTGATTTTCGATCGTTGACGTAGCGTGAAGCTTCGTATTTCTTCCACCTCTTGCGCGAATCGGGTCACTCTTAGCATCACTCTCTTAACAACGCGTTCGATGACGCTCACCACATGTTTATCCTGCTTCCTCATGGTCCACGTTACCGAAGCGTACGTCAAAGCAGACAGAACCGTCGTGTTAAGAGACGAGCGCGGAGCCGGGTGTTCTTTGTCTTCTTCACTACGTCCTCAATCGCTTTGTATGCTCCCATGCTGTTCGTTTCCTCCTACTCAGTTCCGGGGCTAAGTCGTTCATCATGTTGACTTCTCGACTTAGGTAGATGTAGCTAAAGCATTCGGTGATCGTCATTCCATTCTGCGTAAAAGAAGCATCTTTCTCATAAACGTAGTCCTCGTCAAATTTAGTTTCAGACCGATTTTCCCACACAAGTCGTCAAACTGGGCCAGCATTCGTTTCACTTGCGTGATGTCCAGTGTAATTGGGATTATGTCGATAGCGAAGCGAAGGTGGTTTAGTTGCCTGCCGTCGACTTTCACACCCATATCGTCTCATTCTAGTGTCCGCATGACGTTTTCGAGAGCAACGTGAAAAGTTTCGGCGATATGGTATCACCTTGTCGTACTCCTTTCTTCACGTCGAGGGTGATGTCCATGTAGAATGGTGTGTTCTTGGTTGTGAAGTCGTTGTACAACTCACGAATCATCTTGATGCTTGCGTTGAAATAACTTGACTGCTCAAGGCATCGGTGACAGCCTCAGTCTCAACCAAATCAAATGCCTCCTTCAAATCGATGAAGGTGAGACATAGCGGCATCCTGTACTCTCGCGATACTTTGATGAGCCTTATTATCGTGTGTATGTGGTCCATAGTGCTAAATCCTATACGAAACCCAGCTTGCTCGCATGGTTGTCCTTCGTGTAATTCTCTTTCAACCTTGTTAAGAAGTACTCGTGTGAAGAGTTTGCAAACAGTAGACGATAAGCAGATAGGACGATAATTTCCATGTAGCGGGGTCTCCCATCTTGTACAGCAACAGATCTCGCTGATATTCCATTTGACTTGAAATTGTGCCCTTCGTCAAATACCGCGTCCTTGCTAGAATTCTGATAACTGCTGGTGAAAGACTCTTCAGGTGTTCCAGATTGATCCTGTCGCTCAGATGATCGCCGGGGGCAGGCGGCCATGCGAATTTTGAGCAAGCGGACACCGGAAAAATAGTTCGCTGATTTCATGCGGTTTGCTTGCAGAAATTTGAAAGAATGTTGGCCAATTTTTAGAGAAACGCCCGTAGAGTATCGTGGTTTTTCTATAGTTTAGTTGCGGCGCAGTGGCCGCATTTCGCGGACTTTCCGCGAGAATATGCAAAATTTTTGGGGGGCGCACGGTCTTTTGTGAAGGACTGCGCAGCCCCCAGGTACTTTCCGCTGAGAGAAAGTACCTCAATCTTGAGTAATTAAACCTCGATGACACCTCTGCCACATAGATTCTCATCTTTGCTCGGCGTAGCCCGAAACTGCGTTAAAAGAGTCGCGCTCGCTGAAAGAAATTATTTACCGAGTGCTTGCAGAAAATGCTGTATTGTTGCCCGCTGGCAGAATAACCGTAAAAGAACTGCCGCTCGCTGAAGGTTTGGCCACGCCCCAAAATTCTGCTGACCGCTTGCAGAAAAGCGCGAGTTTGCGGACCGCCTGCCCCGGCGATTATCTGGGCGAGTCCGGCTGCTGTACGGCTTTTCATTGACATGATAGCATGTAAAACCTTCAAAGGAAGAACTGATGGTGCAACATATCCGTCCTCCTTGAAATGGCATGGTGGTAAGTGGACGTGACTTAGATCTGATAAAATTCGTGGATGACATTCTCCATCTACCTTCAGGATGAGGTTGTGGTTTTATCAGAGAGGTAAAGTGCGGTCGTCTTGGTCTTGAAGTTGACGACGCTTCGACGAGCGTTGCTTACACTTCTTCCGGTCTCCGCGACGTCAACCATCACTTGTGCTCTTCTCTCTTTGAAATCTTCTTTTATTGCTTTTCTGCATTTCTTCGCGAACTCACCGTAAGTTGGTAATTATGGCTCATGCTCGTCCACATCGGCATATTAGCTCTAAAGTCTCCGTTGACAGCGCTTCATCGTACTTCTAAAGCTTTCAGCTTCCTTAGCACAATAGTGGAGATGCTGGATAAGCTTTCGTATTCCTCGTCAATGTTGTCGATCAAGTATCTCGTCAGAAGCTAAATATGGAAGGAAACAGGTCCCAGTTGATATTAGCCGTGGGACGGTGTCTCTTAAACCTCAAGGCTCTTTCCATTCCGTGAAAAGTAGAAATTGGCTTAAAGGAAACGATGCTTTGATCCAGGGTCAAGCGTATGATGCGACTGTCGCAGCGGGGGTCGTAAAGGGGGCACCGGCGGTGGGGAGGAAGGGGAGGGGGGGGGGGTCGTAAGGGTGGGTAGTCCGAATAAAAAGTGTGGAATGTAGGAAATAAGCTTCTCAGTCGCAAACATTCTCTACTCTTCGAAAAAAGCATTTTTCTGTTTGCAAAAAAGGCGTCGCAGACGGGGACGAACTTGCTGGCCACAAGTATGACCGAAGATTCCAAAAACACTTCCAGAAGCTCAAACATTAGGCATATATGTGTGACAAGAATGTGAAATATACCAGTAGGGCCTAGAAATCCTGGTTCCGAAGCATTATTAAAGTCTCCACTCTCGACAAAAGCGCTTATCTCTACCATGACCATCGATAAATTTTATTTTATGTTATGTCTTTCAAAGGCCCATACAGTTTACCTGTACTTTGGAGATACTCTGCTACAGTTGTGAATCTGCTTATATTTCATAGCGTGAATTTTTTTTTAAATTTTATAAGACAACAAAAAATGAAAAAGGGGTCGTATCTAGGTCGCATCTAACTTTTTTCGCCGCTATGGATACCTGCTCGCTGCAATTTTGCTGTATTACGATATTATGACGCCGTCCTCCCACTTTCTTTATTAGAAATTTCGGGCGGTTTCGTTGCGTCTCCAGTGAGTTAAGGAATTTTGAACTCGAGAATACCAAATGTTGGCTTTTAAGATCGCATCTAAATTTGCTAGAGTCGCATCTAAAATCTTTTGAGCTTATGCTCCTGTGTGGCTGCAACTTTTATCTTCAATTGCCTGAGTTCTATACTACAAAACCTGTTTATTGGAGCCTCTTGATCTTTTCCTGACATTAGTTACAAATTTTCAGAATGCCGTACTCATGACGTTTCTGAGATCGTTCTGGATGGCGCTGAAACGGTTTTCTTCACAGGAAAATATGTACGAAGGTAGGAAATAAGCTTTTTAGTTATATTTTACACCTTAAAAATATCGTTTTTCCTCTCTGTAAAAAAATAGTGTCGCTTACGAGGGCGAAACACGAGACTGTAATTACAGTCTTAAACGTTCTAATTTCGAGAACCATTGTCTATCTTTGGGTACCACTGAACTATGAACGAGTTATGCCGAATATTCATAAACGGCAGAAGAGTTTACTATCGGTCACTAGAAAATGATTACTATAAAATAGTCAAATATATTTGCTGAAGTGAACCGTTTCCCGTGCTGTTTCTTGGTTGTTATTGGTTGCGGGGGTCTACGGACGGGTACTTCAAAGGGGGATTATAAAAGAGGGCCTAAGATTGCATTAACACGCTTGACCTTGGATCCCGTGTAGAATTTCGGAAAGCAACAGCGACGTCCCTGAGGCATTATTTTCTATTGACGATAATGTGATCGATCTTATTACGGTACTCTTCACTGGGCGATTTACAAGTCATGCGTCGGGAAGGGAGCTTTTGGAACTGTGAGTTTTCATAGATAGTTTTCGTCGTTATGATGAACTCGGACAGTCTCTTCCCTTGTTCTTCCCACTGTAAAATATGGGTTTCGATGTGAAGTTCCGCAGTCGACAGCCTTCTAGCTCCGATCTTTGCTTTTAAGGCACCGACTGTGACCTCGAAGAAGGTTTGCTCTTTGTAGAACTTTCCGAGTCCTTGTAGAAGGCCTCAATTTTGTCTTCATCGTGGCTTGATGTTGGGGCATACGCTATGAAGACCGGGCTGGGATCAATCGACATCGTGATATTCGTAAACGTCAAATTCTAGTTGTGAGTTGTTTGAATGAATCAATGCTCACGGCCAAACTCGTATTGACAAAAATAGTTGAAACGACCGAAAAATCTCTTCGAGCGAATGAATACCGAATTCGGCTTTTGAAAAATATTCGAACAACGAATTATTTGATCTGTGATTTTCAGATTATTCGAATTCGAATATTCGAATAATGCTACATTTCAAAATTCGAATGAAAGAATAATCGAATAAATGGGGTTGGTGAAACATTCGGCTATTCGATTAATTCGAATAATTACATTTGGTCGAATATCCGACTATTCGAATACCCTAAAATCCCGCCAATAAGTCCGGCCTTGTCTTCTTTGACACGAAAAATTGATAAAAAAAATCGTCTCCTCTGCGGTGCCAGAAGTCTAGCAGATCTGCTGCGGTCTCATGGGAGGATTCATCTGCTAGACTTCTGGCAACGCAGAGGGCGATTTTTTTTATCAATTTTTTGTGTCAAAGAAATAGATAAAGCCGGACTTATTGGCGAATTTTAGGGTAATTCGAACAATCTAGCGGCTCAAACAATGCTGGTGTTCCTTTATTGCATTTTCTGCAAAAAAAATTAATCGCTATTTTTAATTAGATTTGTAGCTGATAATCACAGCGTAGCAAGTGGTAAGGATGACTAGGTTATTGTCGCTTGGTCAGGGTTTCACCTGCAAAACAAGAATTTCAGCTAAACATGTAGTTCAAGGTGTTCATGCCTGGGAGATGGCTATTAAGCCTTACTTAGTAACCGCTTCAAATCCGCATTTATTTTTCCTCACAGATACCTCCTCAAAGAAGTTCCTCTCGAAGCTACACAGAATTTTTTCCCAAAGCTACAGACTCAACATTTAAAACCTTTTAGGTTAAGTATTTGTTTAAAATTTATTCGTGATGGTCAGCATTGCGTGAGTTTTAAGACTAGCACTGGGAGACAACGAGGAAGGCCTGAAGTAATAGAATCAGTAAACCTCTGCAGCACTGACGCACTGTTTTCTACATAATGCTTTCTTGCTTAAATCCATAAAAGAAAAGTCTTGGAAATATCTGTATATTAGCTGCTAACCTAGTACTTCTCGGAAATTATCAAACGCTGAGTTTTACAAATTCTGTTGTAGGATTGAATTTTCATTCAACTGTAAGTTGTTTTAGTTGTATTTTTGAGGTTTGCACTTTTGTTGTAAGGAATCTTTCACATCTTTCACTCAGGTTTAAAATATTTATTGTTTCACCTACACGCCTACTCAAAGTATTTTCTCTGTGAACTTTGCTACATTTTAACACTAGTTTTTTACACCTCCTGACTATAAGGGCACTCGATTTGAGTATGGTGACTGACATATAGGCTGCAGTCACAAGTCAAGCGTCCGGTCCTCACGACCGCCTTGCTTTGGCCTTGCGGTTAACGTATTTCTCAGATATTTTGACATGCGGGCGGTGATTAGGCTGACAAGGCAAGTGAAAAATTTTGAGTGAAGGAATGAATGTTGCCTATACGTGCTGCCTTAAGATACTGTTGGTCCTTCACATACTAATGCGCTGTTTGAGGATCAGTGGTCCGCTAAAGGGCGCCCGATGACGGCTTTGCTTCTTCACCTAATTTAGGGCTTAAAGTTGTTTGTGCATGATATCGCATCTCAACTTCTCAGAAGCGATTTTCAGAAGATAATACATCACTCCAAATAAATCATGCATAAGACTTGTCATCATATGCTTTGGCATGACTCGCGAATGCCTTAAGGAAACCTTGCTAGCCATTTTGTCATATGATAGTTCATCTGCAGGGCCCGACACGAGCTTGTCAAAAGGGATTTTCGAAGACGAATTCCCCTTTGACCCAAAATTTGTTTACGATTTCCCCTTTGCCCCAAAATTGGTCCCAGTGATTCTGCAGTGAATACTATAACCAAAAAAAAACAAGTTTCATTAAAGAAAAAAAGAAAAACAATTTATTCGCAACAAAAAAACAAACGAGATCACATTGAAGGAGCGCGATGCTGCGATCGGACAGATCATGGCTTGAGGTACAAGTGAACCAGGCGTACAAGTGACAATGGCATAGGGCATAACCTTCTGAACTGAGATAAAATCGGATGTAGACTAACAAGAAGAAACTTACTGCGTCAGCACCAATTATCACCGCGCACATGGGAGGGCACACACAAACTCGTCAGGTACAAGACGAGCGCCAGCATTCAGTAAAAGTACACGAACTTCAAGGTTTTCCCCCTCAAAGCATCATGCATGGCAGTGCTACCTCAAATATAACACGAAAGCATGCATACGATTCTAAAACAATAAAGAACAAGTACCTTTTTACGTCTATTTTCTATATCCGTAGTCCGATCGATTGCAACGTGGTTTATCGTAGTGCACTGGGAAGATACCTCTGATAAAAAAGAACCTCATATGCAAAATTTCTTACATATGCCGATGTGACAATTTTCGAATTACCTGTCAGCCCACTCTATTTTTATTGAATTTCTTATAGCGTGAAACCTTGATTCTTTTCTCTAGACTTACATTCTTCGCAAAGAAAATCATCACAAATTTACAATGGAACTGCAATTAAGAAGTCGAGAAATAAAGAAAGATGCTTTGCGAAGCATGTGACCATTAAGAACAACTTTTCTCAATGTTAACAATTTCCCAGCGAATTAATGCTGATGTCTACAAGTACTACGAATTTCGAAGTATAATCGGTTTCCAGATTTGTGTGGAGGTCTATTGCAGACTTTGCCTGATAACAAGGATAATGTTAAACCTCCACGTTATAGCATTGATTTTCGCACTCTCTCGCTAGCAAGAATCGCTACGCTGTGAGTTAGCAAGACTCTACCTCCACACGAATCTGGAAACCGATGATAAGAAAAATCATAATTTATATTGAACGAAACTCAGAAATTTAGCAGATCCCCAAAATCAAGATACCTTCAAAATATTCTATTTATAAAAACATAAACACCTTTTGAAAGTGCTCACCTGTACCAATGAAGCTAGCGCAGACACTAGCATTACGGCAGATTGTTAATATTGGCACAGGACTCTTGTAACGAGAGCAACAAAGTGCAAAACTAAAAATCATGTATATTTTATGTACATGAGGGTCCTATGCGAATGACATCATGGACAAGTCTAGACATCGCAACGAATGGGAACACGTGTCAAAGGAACTCACCGTCCAGTGGTGGCAATCAGAAGTATAGCCGATGCATGACCACTGACAGCGGCACTGGTTGCTGCTGTTGCGATAGTTTGGGTCATTTAAGTTGGACGTGGGGTGTTTAGAAGCTCTTCGAAGAGTTTGTTGTGGTAAAGAGCAGCTTCAGCTTCCTAAAGTTTTTACAATCAAGACGCTGTCAAAGATGATCGCAAACACGACCAAATGAAGGATGATGAATGCTTAAAGCTTATAAAAAGATGTTTATGAGCTTACCTTGCAGATGTAGTGCATCTTGAGAGCTTCAAGAGGGTAATCTCCTTTCGCAGTTTCTCCAGAGAGCATGACGCAATCCGCTCCATCCAGAGCATGCTATGAAAAAACCTTCAATCCAAATAAACAAAGATGAAGACAAAGGAGCGGGTTTTCCTGCGACTGCTATCCTTTTTTTTAGATAAAAAGAACTGCCAAGAGAATGTGGTAGAATTAAAGGCAGCGTCCAGGCAAGTCTGGACCTATGGGGATTTTACGTGGGATGTACTTTTGGGGCCCTAACTAAGCCACTGCCCAACCGGCAGCTCAGGTACAGTCTGCCCCAATCGGGATCAGGCCGAACCGTCGGCTGAATTTGCGCGCTCGTAGCGCTAGGGGTTTGCGCTGCATACGCGCGCTGTCGCAGAGAGCGAAGAGATTGAGTAGGGAGCAGACTAGCTAGACGCAGAAGTGGCGCGAAATCCTCGCGACGCGCACTCCCGCCAAGCCAATTTTGGCCTGGTTAGTATTGGGGCAGACTGTAGTGCCCTAACGGCTGAGATATTCCCCTCGAAACTGGACCCCGCGACCGTGTTTCGCATGGATTCATGGCGCAAAGCGTGGGTCCTGGCGCGAAACTTACATGAATCCATGCGAATACGTTCGCCGGGGCCAGTTTCGAGAGAAATATCTCAACCATTAGAGCACTACCTGAGCTGCCGCTTGGGCAGTGCCTTAGTTAGAACCCCAAAAGTACTTTCCTCGTAAAAGCCCCATAGGGCCAGATCTGCCTGGACGCTGCCTTTAAGAAATCCTTACAAATTATGCTAACGTAATCTATATACGCTTAATCGCAACGTTGACGATCTACCACTGTAGAATAACGACGATAATTAAAAAACACTGAAAGTAGAAAAAAACTTAGCCCAAACACTTTTTGAACAATTCGCCTCTCGCTAGCCGTAAATCAGCAAAAGAATGGAAAAAGAAAAAGGCTATATTTTAAAACTTACAGCATTAGCTACATCACTTCCTCCTGCACGTGTTGAACGAGGGTTCTTTACCATCGACTCAATCATCGTCGCACAGATGACGGGCTTCCCAGCACGACTGCATCTGGCAATGAGCATCCAAAAAGCAAAATTGAAACTGATTTACTACACATACTCATTCGGAAAAAAATTCTGCAAAATTCCTAACCCTCTGCGCAAGGAACACTTTCTCAGCAGGTAGTTCAATACCAAGATCTCCTCTAGCTACCATAACACCATCGGACTCGGCAATGATCTCATCCCCTTTGTCTACCCTACCTGATTTTTGATTTTGAAAATGACTTGAATGTGCTTTCCTTTTTCCTAGGACCTGAAAATGAGAGTCAATCACTTAAGAAGTATGTTTCTGTCAAGATACAAAAAAAATCTTTTTTGATTTGCTTAATTTTTATAATTGTACGCAGCGTTTTGAATGAAAGAAGCAAAGATCATGTCATTTTGTTCAACACCAAATTACGGATCCCCAAATAGAAGAAGTTATCCTATTGAAAATTTCATACAAAAAAATCTTACTTGTATATCCTTATCGAAAACAGCAGGGAGATCAACAATAGTTCGAGGTAGAGTTATACCTTTACGGCTGCCTAAACTGACACATTCAGTCTAAACCACAAAGAACTACGTATTATGGTAGGACTATGGTGAAACTCACCAAGCATGCCACCGTTCTCAACGGTACAAACAATAGCATCATGAATTTCGTCAACAATGAGTGAGATCAAACCGTCTTCGACGTAAACACGAGATCCTACTTTGACTACCTACACGGAATTTTCTTCAGAAACATAGTGAAATGGATGAAAACAGAAAGACCATCAAATCACAGAAAAAGAAAAGTGGGCAACACTCGACACACCAAACGCCGATTAAAGGACTCAGCGATACGTCTTTATCGCTTGGAACGCGCATTTCTCCTTAGGAAACGGGGGTGCTGAGGCTATTTTTGCCTCTAGCAATGGGAAGAGGAGGGGGTTTGAAACCGAAATTTCAATATATACTATTGTTTGGATGTAGAGTAGATTTATGTAAAAATTTTGAAAAAATTATGTGAATTGAGAGTTTTGACAAGCTCAGCTTGTCATTAGCTTGTCAAATGACAAGCTAATTTGGAAATAAGTTGGGGAAACTCTTCATTCACATAAGTTTTTCATAATCTTTCATACTTTGTTACTTAGTCCTACTGCGCATATACACACCGAATCCCGCGCGATTTCGTCGCCTCTGCGTTGCAAACGAGCCATTTTTCCATTTCTTTGGTAGCGGGAAATTTTCAGAAAAAACTTTGCCACAACCTTCAGTCACATAATTTTTCAATGAAACTCCTAAGTTAGCTCCTACAGGCATGTGTCCACGTGCGTACCAAGTTTCATACCATATCGTCATCTGCGCGTTGCAAACGAGCCATTTGAATTTACAACTTCATTTACCAATTTTGCAATTTACAACTTCATTTTACCAATCTTTGGGAAAAATGCTTATTACTCGTCCCGTTCACATAAGTTTCACAATTTTTCATACTTTGTTTCCACTAGCCTCTCTCCGTTCGCCTACAAAATCTGGTGTCATACCGTGACGCGTACATTGAGAACTAGTCATGTATGCCGTTACAAATAGCTCGTTTGAGCGACGTATCGCGTGCGGCAATTAGCGACGGCGCGGTTTGACGCTCGCGAACTCCAGTCTTCGTGAGGCACATAACATGTTAAAATAAGCAGAGAAGTGCACTACCAATTTTTTTCCCGGGGATCCGCCCCGGACTCCGCAAAAACGATTTCCCCTAAGCCGAAAACGATTTCCAGCTTGTCATTTGACAAGCTCGTGCCGGGCCCTGTTCATCTGTTTGAGTCCGATCGGGAACATACATGCACTCAATGTAAAACAGCTGAAGTTTCCTTTTGACATCGCATGTTCGAATTTTTTTTTTGATATTCGAATATTCTAACAGCTGTCTTTCAAGTTGGCTCGAATATTCGAATACTCGAATAGTTGCCTTTCAAAACTCCTCGAATAAACGAATAGTCGAATAACTCATTTTTCCAAATTGTCAAATAAACGAATTATTCGAAAACAGGCCTTTTTCATTTATTCGACTACTCAAATAGTCGTATAATTGGACATTCTCGAATATTCGACTATTCAAAATATTCGAATAGTCGAATATTTTGAATAAATCATTCGAACACGAATATTCGGTTCTTACTATATTGACAAGGACTCCTGTACCGCCGATTTCCTTGCTGTAGCATGTTCCTAAAAACAGTTCTTCTCCAGCTTCAAATGTGGCGTTCAGCGGGTGGTGTCTCCCTGTCTCATTCAGTTCGATGACGTCGTACTTGATCTTTTGCTTACATCGAAGGATCCTTGATGGATGCGTCCAATGCAAGGGTTCGTGCGTTGTAAGCGCAGATCGTCATCATTGTCCGTCTCGTTTTCGGCAGCCTAGATCGGCCAAACCTTGTCCCCACTGGCGCTGCCTTACCAGTGGCTCTTCCAAGATTAAGGAATCTTTCCATTTTATCTTAGGTTCAACGATTGAATTACTCGCGGGAGCAGCTTGTTGGGCTCAAAACTCTCGCGAGGAACGGTCGGAGCTTATTTGTTAGAGACGATTCCGAGCCCGCCTCTCCCACGTCTACCCGAGAAATAGGGATGCAAGGTTTTGATGGAGGCAGGGAGTCCGCCCCCCGGCTCCGCTTACTTATCGGAGCAGAGGCGGGGTCGCTTTTGGTCGGCGATCAGCCCCTATCCGCTAGTTAGGGCGCCATATTAGCCTCACGGCTAATCGGCTAAAATCCAATTACGGAGGGGGGGGGGAGGGGGAGGAATGCATAGGAACTACAAGACACATCATCACGCTGTCGTGGTGCAGTTCCTTACTTCCTGAGAGGAGCCAGGAGTGGCATTCTAATTAAAAAATTCAAATCTCAAATCAACTCAGAATTTTGCCTACGAGATTTTTCGTAGTTACTATATACCATCGGGTTTCAAACTGTTGAATGGACGGAATTAGACCCCGGCACAGGTGGTCTGGGGTCAAGCTGGATTTCGTTTTGAGGTTAAAAGCAACGGAGTTATCATTTTTATGAGTTCTTGGGTGAAGCGCCGAAAAAGAAAACGACAAACATGTCAGTTTTCACGAGTTGAACATTCGCAAGCGCGCGAATTTCAAACGCAAAACCCAAGCAAGAAATGGCTTGTTCAAAGCGCAAAAACAATCAAATGGCACCAAATTTGGGATCTATGTAGACAATATTAATCCAAACTATATTATGTAAAAAGTTTCAGAGATTTATTTCTCCTAATACCCGTTCGCGAATCTGTTGGTTTCCAGACCAACATTAAACCAACTGGGTTGGTTTAGAGCATAGATATCGGAGATCACATAATTTGTCGACCTTTTGATTTGGTCGATTAAAACGCTCAGAAATTTGTCATATGGCGAAGAGAGCGAATCAAACCATTGCCTCTCCTCTTTTTATGAGCCAAAAATAATGTAAACCTACGCAATGATAGATATCGCGCTCCAATCACATGCGGTGTCCTTTGAACTAGGCTGCGAAAAATGCCTAGTCAAACTGTTGAGGCCACAGATTTGGTTGGCCTAGGAGGCTTTCGACATTCTGAGCATTAAAATTGTACTGTACTAATGACAGAGCCTTAAATCAACTCAGAATGTTTTTTTGCCTTTTTTGTATTCTTTATTATTTTTTGTATTACCTCAAAATGCGCCTTTTTCGCTTTTTATCGTTACGTTGATTGAATAAGGGTTTCCCTACTAATTTTTACGTCGAATGGGACTTCGTAAATTTTGCGAAGTCACGAGGGGGGGGGGCGAAGTCACGGGGCCCAAAAGTGCCCCAAACCAACGCGTGCCGAGCCTTGGACGGAATATTTGTAATCGCCGTAATTTCACTGCTCTCTTGTGCATTACCGACTACTGATTGTAATCAGTATCGAATACCCCGTTCACTCCGCTTTATAAAACGCTTTTGCGCGAGCTCCAAGTTCCTACTTGCATACCGTAAATTCACTGTATAAGCTCCTGCAAGACGAAGGCGGTCGGCTCGATGTGCAACGCGGCTGCGACACTGCTGCGTCACAGCCGCGTCACAGCCGCGTCACAGCCACGTCGCACATCGAACCGACCGCCTTCGTCCTGCAGGAGCTTATAACTGTTGTGTGGATCTATGTGTGTCATAGATTATCCCAATAATCTACAACCTTTACCAATGTAGATCTATCATGTATGTTATATTATCCAATAGCATGTCGTTGACAAACGTTACTGTTCACTGACCGCTTAAGCCGCCAGGACACCCCTCCACTGTGCTTGATAGTCTACTTGGCGGCGTTTAATTTCATGTAGGCAATCCTTCATACTCTATGATATTGTTGTTTACCAAAAGTGAGCATTTAGGTTATCCACGCCCAAATCAGTGGCATAAAAGGGACTGAATGCTTGGTTCTGGTGTTGGTTCGATTAATACCACTATCGTCAGCGGCTGTTCCGCATATTCATTGTTGATAGTCAGCAGCTGCTCCGCTACTATCCAATAAACAGTTATATAACATAGTGGTACTAGCTTGGTGTGTACCAAATTGGTGCATTTGGCCTACGGTTCACTTTCTGGCGTTTGCTACTCAGAAAGCTGGTAAATTCCCGCGTGGCAGACACTCCACTAATTAATTGAACCCTTCTGAGCTCTCTCTTCATGAGACGACCAGAAGGTAGTAAAAGCGTCAACCGAAGAAATTTTACCGGTCAATTGAACCCTTCTGAGCTCTCTTTTCGTAAGACAACCAGAAGGTAGTAAAAGCTTCAGCTGAGGAAACCACTGGTTAAATGAACCTTTCTGAGCTTTCTTTTCGTAAGACGACCAGAAAGTAGTAAAAGCTCCAGCTGAAGACCTTACCACTGAAGTTGAACTCTTCTGTGACCTCTTCTAGTAAGACGACCAGGGGTTAGTAAAGAAAAAAGAGTTGGTACAACTTTAATAGTTCACTCAAAAACTATCAAATTACAAGGTCTCCTCAAACTCGCACTGGGCAGGATCCAAACCTAACCAGTCAGCACAGCGTTCAAGCCCATCGGCACGCTTGCTAACCAACTAGAAGAAGCTAAGCGCTCCATTGCTAGCTTACTAATGACTAATTTTCTTGCACTCAGCAAGAAAAAATCCCACAGAGGTTCAGGCCCAGCCAACCTCTACAGTTCTCGGCAGCTGCGCGTACCCAGTACCCAGCCAGAACACCTCTATCAAAGCAGACACCTGCATTGCCAGCACGCAGCACGCACAAAGGATTTGCTCTCATTTTCACATCGCTAAATCTTCTGCGTAAGGATCATAATAACAGGGTTGAAAAGTTCCGGATATAGTAAATCAATTTAGGAAGTAGTGTGGTGGCATCCAAAGTTTATGCATCTTTCAAAAAGATTCTCTAGAACATTATTTAAAGCTTCGATCGCAAGCATGAAGAATAGGTAGTAGGATGTGTGCCCAAAATAACGGAGCATGATGGGATGCCCTAATGCGGGTAACAGATCACTTTCGAGTGGCACGCTTTGGTGGTAGTACCTAGGCGATATGGCAACTCCACTCGTACCTAGGCGACCATTACACTACCTCCACTTTCTCCGTGTTTGAGCATATGAATGTAACACATGCAAGATAAAAGCTTTCAATAGTCTAAAGATGCGAATACTTGATGAAAAAGTAGAACGAGTGGGTATAAGATCTGGTAGTTCACGTAAATATTCAAATACTGATTTTGATTCGGCGAGAGATTTGCAACGACGTGAAATAGAAAGCTCAAGATAAATAATAAAAGTTTCATATTACTGTATAATCTAAGTTATTTCTAGTCAAGAAATTAGCATGGGATAAATAGAGTATTTTGAACAGCAAAATTCAGAACAGTAGTCTATTTGAGAGAATTTATAGAAATGTATTGAAAATAGATGCCAGACAATCTTGCTGTACAAAGCAATGAGCCATATAATCGTTCGATTTCTAAGTTTGAGAGGAAGCCATAAATTCTGAAAGTGAGAAAGACAAGATAAACGAATAGCATATAAACTCCCTGGCAAGTAGAGTAGAATGGTATTTCTTTTCTAATTAAAAGCAGAAGTGACACTGAAATTATAAAGAGAAAAAGCCTAGGTAGATTTTAAAAGTATTCTGATTCATTAATTCCTAATAGACTCATAAGATCACATTTCAAAAGTTTATTTCTAAATGTTTTTGAGTTGGGCGTCGAAAGAAGTGTATCAGGTAGTTTTTGCATCCAGCGAGAAGTGCGAGCAAAAAAGGAATTATAGAAAGGCGTATTTAATAAGGTCATCCCGAAAGTAATTTCGCTTTTTTCAAGCGGACGCTACATGTGGTAAAACAAAGATTTTCAAGAAACCTTAGTAGCATTCGACGCAGCATTTCATCCTCTTTCTGATGATTATCAAACTATTAAAGCATATTCAATAAGCTTTCAAAAAAATTATGAAAGTCTGCGTTCCATGTTTTTGAGATGCTCAAGTTTCCTAATTTTTCTAAATTTTTAAATCAACCCTCCGAAGAAGTCCAAGTAACGATTCGATAGAGCAAACCTCATAGGATATGGCTTAACTTTTTTTTCTCGTTTTTATATCTCGCCATAATCTCTCAAATGATTTATTATTAGAACCATCGAATTTTACAGGCTTACGTCAGCCACATCCGCATCAAACACCAATAAATCTTCGGAATCTAAAACTTCCAAAGTGGTATTATGATTCAACACTAATTTTAAAAAGCGAATGAGGGTTTACGTAATCGAAATTTCTAATTTCGATTTTTCCGGATACAGCCCGGAACGCGTTCGAAAATATGAATTATGATGATTTTGTTTCTAATGATGATTCTGAGTGGTGTTTTATGGTCAGCACATTAGTGATGTATACAATACATATATGGCAACTGATTCTTCCCAGAGTTACTACTTGGTTTCATCCACATTTATGGAGGACGAGATGGTGTGTACGTCACATAGATTGTCTTACGCAAAAACAAACTCTTCTGTAGCCATCCTTGAACAATATAAGCAATATCCTGTATCATTGTGCAATTCGCTGCTTCCGTAACTTCTCTGTTTTCTTCCTTCGATTGTGAAATAATTATCAAATGTCTAGACGGAAAAGCAGAACGATTGCGTTGTAAATCTACAGAATACACACACTGAATGATTTGCGCTTCATTCTCTTTAGGTTTAGCTCACGGTAATGGAGCACGCTTTTTTTGTTGTGCAGGACTATCAGGTAGCCGCCGTGGTCATTTTTGCCGTGAGTTTTTCAACATATTTCAATTGAATGATCAAAAAGCAGCGAATGCTGCTGAGCCTAAATTCTGGTACTTTTGCAATTAAGTGTACAGAGCTCTACATCATTTTCTCGTTGAAGAAACAAAGTATTCTAATGTTACATGAAGGTGTTCAGGTTTTAACCTAATTCTACAACCAACACAGCGATGTCATTGACAGGGCTTTGATCCTTCAATCATTCTTACACTTGTGCGCCCTCATTGCATTTTACCAAACTTGCAATTCGGTCTCTACCATCGCATTTCCCCGTAGCCTTCTGCTGTTATCAAGGTAGCTTCCTCATAGTATCTTTTAGATTGATCTCCCACACTGATCTTTAAGTTTGAAATAATCACATGACAGTCTAAAATAAGAAAGTGGTCGAGGATACTCTTTTAATGGGATGGTTTTATATTGCGTCACATACGATCAGTTGCTATTTTATCACTCTATGGGATAAAGAAACAGTGATGTTAACTTTCTGATTACTTTCAACTTCGAGCTGGAAGGTCACTCGCTTGTTTCCATATCTTGTATGACCGATTAAACTGAGAGTCCGCTAAAAGATGATCATGGTTACTGAATGATGATGTAACCATGGTTAAACACAATCACATTCTATGCTGGTCTTGGCCAATTCACTACCACTTCTGCTTTTGAAGTTGAAATTCTTGCATCGTCCCAGAGTTCACGGCTTGCTTGAATCTAAATCAGAGAAAGATCATCATTTACACAGAAAAAAATGTTACTCTTAATGTAATAATATTTTGATCAATCTTTTTTGACACGTTTTTTGCTAGCTCTGATTCATAAACCTTGCAAAGTTTGCTACCGCTTAACAGATTATCAAGTCATTATTGAAACTTGTCCTTATTCTGAATAGCTTACCAACTCATTCTTTTGATCCTCATCATTGTCGCGATATCGCTGGCACAAAATGTGAGAGCCGAAAAGCGAAAGAATCCCGTGTCTTTTAAAATAAGTTGTAGTTTCACTCGAGAGGGCAAATAAGGCTACATTGTTTCGAACCAGTGACCATGAACTTGTAGCAACAAAGACTTGATAACGATACACCCTTAGTACAAATCAAACCTGCTCTACCCTAGCCCTCCGAAAAAACCACTTCTGCATATAAATCGCTCTTGTTTTGACTACTGCATAGACTGCACTTATATTTACCCTTTGTGTGCTGCTAATCTTCACAATATGTCGCTGAGAGATAAATAGGGGATATATTGCACACATGAAAGGTAAGTGGCAATTGAAAATTAATGGTGTGGTCTTTTTGAAAATTTTATAAGCAAAGCCATAAGCTGCAGATTCGAAATCTATGGTGTTTTCAACAAAGCATATTTTACAGATTGCCTTTATTGGCACAATAGCAAATGTGATCGTTGCCACAACTTCACAAAGAATTCTATCGATGCGGAACTCATTTGGATTACTCATGACAAGTCAATCAACGGCTGAGATAGCATTCTGCGCCATATTTGCATTTTATTTTTCTCCCATGGTGTTTTTGTAAGTTTTAGTCTTATCGTAACTTTCTCCTCATCTTATTGAGCACTGATTTCTCAGCAGCAACGAAGTCTTAAAAGGGATCTCACATCGCTTTGGCATGGTTTTACTAATGTGTTATGATATATGCATATTTTCTCATTTGTTTATTGCGCTCAACAGGATGTGCGCTATATGTCTACCTTGGAAATACGATAGATACTTTAGGTAGGTGGAAATTAGTTTTGGTCATGAGAGGCATTCTTGTTCTAATAGTACTGCCTTATAGTCGCAACCGTACCAAAATCCTCATTGTTATTTGTTGGTTCGTATCTATAACAAGATGTTTGATCTCCTATGGTTACAGTCAGTTTTCAAACAATCTTCTCGTATTTCATTTGATTATTTCCTCTCAGATGATTGCGATCTCGTTTATGAAGGGAGCATATGGGCGTATTTATTTACTGTAACAGAGGTGAAATGAAAAAGGTGTGAATAAAATAAAACACTGAAATAGAATTTTCAGCAATGCAAATTTATTTCTAAATACCTTGATTTCTACAAAGATGTAATACTTACAACACTGATTGCAATAATTGATCTTATAACCGTTATCAAAGTACGCACGACAAGAAAGCAGGTGAATTATCCTAACTACAGATAAAAGATTGATACTTTTCTTGCATACAGTATGCTATGAAATAGTGAAGAACCAAAAAGACGTGCTTGTCTTGTAGTGTATTCTTACAATAAACGTCATTCATTAGCCTATGTGATTGCACTACCAAATTTGCATTGGCATTTGCAGGTTCAGAAAAAATTAGGGACACTCTTTTCGTGCAGTCGTTTCTTCTTCACTTTTGACACCATTTTTTCAATCATTTCGTACACTAATGACTTTGTAATCACCAATATTGCGCGCTAGAGAATGCAAAACTGCTAAAAACGGAGCAGTCATAAAAGCGTCTGATAAAAGAGGCGCTATACCTGCAAACTAATGAATGGTAAGCATAGTTTAACTTTTTTCGAATTCTTCCTGCGAAACACATTGAACAAGATTTAGATTTTTCATTGCGTGAGAGTCATTTGAGTCAATTTTTCAAACGCTTCAGTCTCGATGCGACATTCAAATCTTCATTCAAGTGATTAGGACTCTTGGAGCTTCTGGGTGGCTTTCTACGGGGTGTGTAGCTCCCTTACTTTCCAAAATTGTCTGAAAAGCGTTTTTTTTTTTGGGAGTAAGCGCATTGTTTTCATATAGATCTAAAGCGAATCTGTATGCATCAGCTGAGCGATGTATGGGTTGCCTCTTCCTTTTAGTTGCTGTAAGACCTTCCAAAACTGAAAGAACAGTTAAGATTCAAACTGTCAGAAAAAGGGGACCCGAGTTGGAATTGATTCACATACTTATCTCTGCTAAGGTAAGGCTCATTGCAAAAGCAATCGCGCTTTCACAGTGCGCTGGTCACCAAATCCATCAAAAAGTAGCCAATTCCAATTTCTTCGCCGGCTAAAAAATTACTTGACAGCCTACTAAATAAAATTGCTATGACAATATCTCATGAATAGGGAATCCTAAAAGTAAGTATACATTTTTTAATCATTGATAACTTTCTTCCTACCTGTCTTTTCTTTAGCTTTGAGTAACATTCAATAAAGCAGGATTCAACTTATATTTTTGAAGTATGGAGCAAATCACCCATCGCTCTTTAGTACCGGAAGATTACGAAAGACTACAGCATACAGCATTATCGTGTAATGGTCCTGTAAACATAAAGCTTAGAAAATATGATTGTGTAGCAGCGTTTTCGCACATGCTGCTTTCATTGGACAACTTTTTACGAGCTTTTTTAAGATTTTCTAATGATTCAACCAAATTTGAAAAATGGTAAGAAAAAGAAAAGAAGTAAGTACACGTAGCGCTAACAACCGAATTTATGATGAGGAAATTGGGCAAGTGAGTAAGTTTTCGAGAAAAAGTATCTTGTTTGAGAGCGAGGAAGGAAAGGCGAAGGTGTATGGGATGAGAGTGTTGGCAGTTAGTGTTTGCTCAGGAAGTTTTGCGCGGGTGGAGTAGAGAAGACAAAAACTTTTCAAACGGTACTGTTAGCCACATTCACAAAAAAAATCTGATATACTTTCCAAAGCCCGTAAGTGCTCCTCTAATGCTCAAGAAATGGGGATATGGCTGCAGCGACGTTCTCCGAAATTATTTATTAACGGGTGGAAAAACTGCTCACACAACTCTGTAGCTGGCTAACCGCGGCATCGGCACTAAAACACTTCTAATTCAAAAAGCCCACTTCCTTTGATTTGTCACTGGTAGCAAAACTAATCTATCTGTCTATGTGCCACTTTGAAATGATATATTTAGCTGCGCCAACCAGGCGGAGAGAGTTCCCGTCGCAAAAAAGAAATCAACTTTTTGAAACAAGCTATTCTGCAAGGACTCGTATTCGCTATTGAGTTATTCACATATTTCTACTTATCGTTACATGTTCAAAATCGATGGCTAATTTTTGCTTGCACAACAGTGGCATGGAATCTGGTGCACTGCACAGATGCGTGAGTCTTCACATATTGCTTAAACGAAAAAAGCAAAAACGATTTTAGGCTAATCGTCATTGTGTTTAATAGTGAATTCAGAAAGCTATTAGCATCCCCGAGGAACATTTTCAGTAAGTATTAAAATCATTTAGTGGTCAAAATTCTTTAATGTGTAAATTTTTGCAGAAAGTGTCATATATGGTCAAACTACCGCATCAACAGCAATGGACCACTCGGTTTCGAAGCACTAATTATATCTACCTGACCTCATACAACACGAAAATAAACTATTGTTGAGAAAAAAAAAAGAATTTTTTACATGAGACGAACATTTTCGAAAAGAAGATAGGGCAAAATCTTAACGTTTCAATGTGATTCGATTATTCTCGGCAATTATCTAATGTTGGGAACAACCACCCACCTTGCAAACTGTAAAAAATTACATTTTCCTATGTCTTCGTTTTCCAAGAGCAGAGAATGCGAATTCTGTAACCATGCTCTAGCTGACCTGACAAGATAGGAAGCAGTCTGGGGTCACAAAAATAGAACTCCCAAACAAGAGCTGTCTTTCCGCATTTGAGTGTTGCTCAAGATACTTCTTTTGGACGGTTTTACTCGTAGATTGGCGACTCTGTTAAATGAATAGGCGGTAACCGGCATAAGGCCCCGGGCAGACTTCACGCGATTTGATCGTCGCGACTCAATTGCCGACATTTCCATTCATTTTCATTTCACATTCAAAAATTTCGGCCTGGAAAAGTATCACAACCGAAATGCAAGTTGGTCGGCATGGAATGATGTTGTAACAGTTGTCTCGTCGCGATTTAGTCGCGACGATCAAATCGCGTGAAGTCTGTCCGGGGCCTAAGGTGTAATAAAGCAGCAGTCCTTTTGCTCTTCAATTTTCACTTTTATGCCCTTATAAATAGCATTGCAATTTCTATAAAGTTAAGTGGTTTGAAGGTCAACCAGCGCGCATTCTTTTAACAGCAGCCTTTGATATATTGGCAAAAACCGTCCACGCCCGAAGACTTCACTGCGATATCAAGTTAATCCAGCGTACGCACTGTTTTGGTGCAGATCGGATTAGTGGAGGGAACATTAGGGTTCAACTTGTGGGAGTAGGGCGGCTAGCTGCTAACTAATATTCCAGCTCCAGAGTAGGAGATGTCTACGTATGTTTGAAATTACCTTGATGGTGACATTAAAAGCAGTGGATCGGCAAAATCAAACACCTCGAAATTTTTATATGGAAGGTTGTTGCACCCCAAACACGAGAATGGAGCAGGTCCGAGTGCACAGCATGCAACTCCTGTCTAGAATCCTAAACCCGTGCGCGCGAGCCATTCTTACACGCACTCGAAGAGCTCGCGAATCCCTCACGCCATCAGAGACGGCATGCCGCAGTGCTATAAACGTGAGGGTCCCACAACGACTCTGCGTCTCTAACCATGGCGGGGAGCGTTCCATTTGTTCAAATTAATGAGGGGGCTTGAAAAATGCTAGTTTTCACCATTTTCGCGCTCTAAAAAGTGGGTTTCCAATCAGCGCGTCGAATTATCTCAGGTAAGCGAAAAAACCAAAGGTCGAGGATTTGCCGTGCCACTGCCTTTAACTTGGGTTACCATTTGATTCAGCGAGACTGGTGGATGTAAGGCAAATTGCTCGCATCCGCTACGCAGTCTGCGTCTCTCTCGCAAGCGTGTCTTTGATTTTACCCTCGCCTTGATTAGGCCTCAAAGCTCCACCTTCCAGCCGCCAATCCGACGAATCAAAGGGTAGTTACCACATCTATTTACCATGGTTTAATAGTTGCCATAATAACAATGACTACCTTAAGCTACATCCCCAAGCAAGAACCTTTGAAACTTTTGAGGCACATTTTTTGCCGATCCAATTTTACGCAATTATTCTTTACAGCAAAAAAAATTCATTTTCGATCACGTTTTTAGCTAACCTCAATGGCTGGAAGATACAGTCGAGTAGATTTCCTGCTTAATATAGTGTCCCTGCAGACGCGACAACGCTGGGGCGTCGATAATTGCCTTGCGAGTTCCCGAGCTAGTGTTTTCAGTGTTTTCTTTGCTTATTCTATGTTTTTAGGTGATTCGTTGCTTATAAAGAAGAAAAAGGTAAGTTAGAGAGTATTTCTGTTTCTTGAGAAATTCTATCATCGCATATTCACAGATATCCGCGTGGAAGCAGTTCGCGTCAGCTTCTTGTCAATTTCTTTGTTACTTCATGTCTCTTTCTTCTTGTGAAGTACTTCTTTGAACGCTAGTGGGTTTTTACGATTGACCTATTGTCTTTATCACATGAAGTACTTGATTAAAATGCCATTTCTTATGGGTGAAAGTCGAAGTTGCTGCAAGACAAGCCAACTAGCTTTCAAAGAAGCGCCTCATAAGACGAAGGTTCGAAAGAAGAAGTGACAGAAGAAAAGGAAATGACAAAAAAAATAGACAAAAAGCTGACGCGAAATGCTTCCACGTGGATATCTGTGAATATGCGATGATAGAACTTCTCAGAAAACAGAAACTACTCTCTAACTTACCCTTTTCTTCTTTATCAGCAACGAATCACCTAAAAACATAGAATAAGCAAAGAAAACACTGGAAAACACTAGCTCGGGAACTCGCAAGGCAATTATTGACGTCCCAGCGTTGTCGCGTCTGCAGGGACACTATATTAAGCAGGAAATCTACTCGACTGTACACATGCTGAACAAGTCCATAACCTTGCAAAAAGATACATAAGCTCCAAGTTTTGTAGGCTATAATTCCCATAAACCCATTTGGAGCACAGTTTTCAAAGGTTCCATTGAAACGACTTGTGCTTTTATACACTGCACCCACTTACACCTGCACCTGCATAGGGCGCCATACCAAAATTCTAGCACAAAATCTGTGCTGAGACTCGCTCCATAAATATTGTTACAGACAGACATACAAACACACATAAATCACGTACCAGCCTTTAGCCCGTTATTATATTATAAGTAGCCAATGCGTTACCTCTGCTTCACAGAGGCGCGCACCGTTGTTATCCGAATGTCTTCTTCGTACTCTCGTAGGGTTTGAGACTCATCGCGCATACCAACACCATTATGGATGACTTGTGAAAAACTACTTATTTTAAAGGCTCTTTTATGTAGGAAGGGAGGAAGGGAGGAAGAAAGTTTTCTTCAAGAAATTGAATGCAAGCATCAGTTAATGAGACTATTCCGCCTCGATGTGCGCCATAAAGATAATGACCGCCTTGAGTTACATCTCTAAGCAAAAACCCTCTTAAATCCTTAGGTGCGCTATTATTTTTTTGGTCGATTTTGCGTAAAAATAGTTTTCTTGCTTATTTTTCAAGGCGAAATCATGGCTTGCGTATTTGCTTGTTAAGTACCCTCAGCTTTGCAAAAAATTCCAATAATTTATTTTGGCGGGCCAAGAATCGCGTGAATCCGTTGGACGCACAGTCTGTAAAGGTTGCACATATGGCATCGTCTTGTGCTTTTGCACACTTTGTTTACAGGTCGGGCTCAAGACCTTGCCTGCAACTCGCTCTTTGAATTTTATGACAGGCAGACATATATGCAAAGAAACAAAATCAAGTTGTATTGATAAGATAATAATGACATATAACCTTACTGCAAGAATACGTTTTGATCAGGTAATTCATTGCGCATTAACAAGAAGAAGACATTTCGCTAAAATCATCAAGCAGTGTTCGAAATTCTTTTCACAACTTAAGAATTTGCACACGAATCTTACAAAAGAGCTTAAAAACGAAGTTTATTACAATGAAACTTCGATGTGCATTCATAAATAATATAACCATCATTGTAGCTGTCACGTTACTGAGCATGAAAATAGTTGAACAAAGTGGCGAAGAGATAGAGGAACAATACGGCATTATTGCGATACAATAGAGTCAGTGCAGCGCTAATGCAGAACTATAAATGAAACCAATATTAGCATTACTTGGCACTTGTAATTCGCAGCTCCCTTTTGATCGTCGTGTTGATCATCATCTTCGAAGAATGTACTAGAAAATGAAAAAAAAATGGACAGCTAAAAAATTCAGAGTGGAGCATCGTGTAAAATGTTAGATTCACGCGGGAGTGCCCAGCAAGCACTAACTTATGTGTACCCTTTGATTCGACCGCCTTGGCGACTGGTAGGCGGGGCTTCGTGACCTAATTATGGCTAGGTAACGAACGAGAGCACGCGCGCAGGAGAGAAGCAGACTTCGTCGCGGTCGCGAACGGCCTTAATTAGGTCACGAAGCCCCGCTTTCCAGCAGCCAAGCCAGTCGGATCAAAGAACAGTCACGCACGCAAAGCCTACCCCCCCCCCCTCCACCCTCCCAGTCACTTCGCCCTTTTGTCCTATCCTTTCCATATATTCTCACTAACAAGTTTATCTCTGGAAGGAGCTAAGACGGTGCAGACTCAACTCTATTGGTTACTATTACTGCTTCATTTATTTTAAAACTGCGCGAGCGTTTTGTCGGGAGGATTATGGATGGCCAACCTTGTTTGAGCTTTTTTTCAATGAATTCTTTGCTGTTACACTTGAGTGTATTTTGTGTGAAATTGATACAAGAGTTAATAGTATACACGATTCCTAACAAGCGAAGACTAAAGCGGTATTGCGTCTGGTCGAGATAGTTCGTGCTTGGGAGAGACAGCAGATAGTAAGAGGAACGAAAGAGCGGTCGAGACAGACGCAGATAGGTATGTCCGCAGTCTTTGCATGCTATGGATCGCCTGTAGGTTGGTACATACCATAAGTCTTGCATCAAAGTGAGTTTATACCTCGATAAATCATATTTCCGTAATTATGGATTTTTTTTCAAGATAAGATACCATTTGATAGAGTAAAGTAGGCTCTATGAGATGGTCATTGAAGATTTGTACCAACTTGGATCCACCCGAAGAGGAGTCAAAAATTCTAAAAAAAGTGAATCCCCTCTACAATTAATCAATACATTTGCGGTGTTCTAAGAAAGAAAACTTTCACGCTTTTCCCAAAGCAATGCAGAGTTAATCCCATACTGATATCTGTAAACTACAAATTGAAGTATAACCGTATAACAAGAGCCATTTCGGAGAAAGATAATTCAATAATTTGGCATATCTACACCAATAGAGAAAGCTTACATTGGTTATTCTCAAAGACTACCTTGTGTAGAAGCCAGAAAACCCACTGTCATAAATCTAAAGCTTGTATTGTATAAATACTAAAGTGGAATAACTCAGGATTGCTTTGATAATCGCACGAAAATTTTCGTTTTCGACATTTGATCAAGGAAAAAATACAGCAGCTGTATAGATAAATGTCCGGTGTAGACGGTACATACGTGAGCGAGTAGGTAATCCATGGGATTTATTGCAAAAAGTTCTCATTTTTCAATTTTTCGGGATTTGGATTTTTTTGGCTTCAGATTTCGCGTAGATCAGAGTTGCTGCAGATATTTGAAAACTACACTCTGATTCAACTGGCTTGGCGGCAAGAAGGCGGCGTTTCGTGGCCTAATTAAGGCTAGTTCATGATCAGAGAGCACGCGCTTGAGAGAGACGCAGAGCGTCGCGGCCGAGCGGCCTTGATTAGGTCATAAAGCCCCGCCTCCAGTGCCAAGCAAGTTGAATCAAAGGTTATGTTGTCGCTTTATCAAATGGACCCAAAACCTATCTTTATAAAAAGAAATATGATGTGTTATAGTGTCGCTTTGATGCAGGACTTACGTCTTACAGGCACCTACTATTAGACTGTCCCGCAAATTTTATCTTGTTGATTCTTACCGCAGTAGATCATACTCTTCTCTCTTCCAAATACAAGAAAGATCTTGAGCGCTCTACAATTTTGCCATGCACTATGGCATCCTTTTGTACAAAGCTTGTTCCACATTGAATTTGAAAAAATCAGAAAGTTCTAAATGCGTGAATAATCGGAAGATTCTGATCTTCATGACTGGAATTTTCCCACTCGTTTAAGGGATCGTCAAAAAATCTTGGCCTTTCATCACAAATGGTTGGCTTTAAAACATACAGGGCTTATCAAATGGAATGTCGCTCGCCCTAGCATTTCCACTCCCCCGCTGGACTCTGCGTCTCTTCCGCGGAACAAGCTCTCTAATCCTTTACCATGGTGAGCATTGGAAAGGCGGAGCTTCAATTGATCAAAAGTGATTAGGGAGCATGCTCTGCGAAGAGACGCAAAATTCGGCGTGGGAGTGGAGATGCTGTTGCAAGCGACACTTCGTTCGATAAGCCCTGTATACATACATTTCCCGCATAATTTGCACGTACTAAAAATCGAGAAAAAGAAATAGGCCAAAACGCGAAGATGTTACAATTTCGCTTTTCTTCTAAATATGAGCAAATGTATACATAGATTCCCGTTGTGGAAAGTACATGCATGAGTAAATCAGAGGTTCCTAGAATTGAAGTGAAGTTTGAATTTTTCTGAATTTTTGAGTATCTGGTACAATTAATTGTCTTCAAACTTCATAAGAAACAGCTTTGCACAATCTTGTAGAGGCCTTCTCGTGGAGATTGCTTCATCCCAACAGAAAGTATCGCGGAACATTTCTGTACGCGTAAGAAAAATATGGCTCGAAGCACCATTTTTCGACTTCCATGTTTTGATCGTTCCGGGGCCTTCTCATGTCCCCTGATTTCGAATATAAAGTTGAGAATCCGCGAAAACTCCAACAATCTCCGTTCCGAAAAACCCGCAGGCCGGCTTTCCGGAACGGGGATTGGCAGGGCGTGCACGGATGGGCGGGCATGGATGGGGAGGGCGGTGCCGTCTGGGGATCCTCGTGCATCTTCGTTATTCCGGAGCAATTTCCTCGCTTCCAAAGCGCATTTTGCGCTGCGACTTCGGCATTGGCTTAATGGGGGGAGGGGGGAGCCTACCATCACAGTTGCCGAAAGCTTAAGACTCTCGACTTAGGGTGCGGTGCCTTTAATGTGGTGAGTAAAGCAGGGTATATGAATGGACCTGACAACTGCACTCCTTTTAATTCATGCTGGCCTATAGTAAAACAGTTTTATTTCTACTTTGGCAATTTCACGCTACTGTTTTTGTCTCTTGTAGACACTTATCTGTATAACAATTATTACGAAATCTGAAATAGATATAAGGCCGCCTTTTGACCCCGTGAACCCGTCTTCATTTCCGCCCTACGCATAAGTTCTTTTTCTTCATTGAGACCACCATAAAACCTCGTCAGATAAGTCTGAAGTGGCCTTATCTGCCTTATCGGTCCTATCTCGCATTCTTTGCAGCTTATAAAATTCCTCCTTTGCTATCCCAAATATAATAGGTTGCCCCGAAAGCAGGGCCCGGCAGGAGGTGGCATTTCAGAATTTTGAAAACGATATCCCCTTTGAAGCCAAAATTTCTTACGACTTCCCCTCTGACCCTATTTTTGACCCCCGTAAGTCCCTGACAAACAGATATACACAAATAATGAGATGGGCGGCCTCAGCGCTTATTATAGTAGTACTACCTGGCTTTCCTGGTCCAGCCCGGGTCATCAAGGTTTCAGCTCAATGGGTTCATCCGCAAAGGAATCCATAATAAAACATAGGGTCAAGATTTGCACAAACTTTGACGTTTATATATCTAAGATACTACTCATTTATTAGTCAGCTGCGAAACTTTACAATTTAATACAATAACCGATTGCGATTAGAGCGCGCTTTCCGAGGCCGATCATAACGCTGTGAACCCTATTTGGGGCTGTATCGAAGCAGTGCCTTAGTGGTTTTGGAAGCGGATTTGAACATATAGTAATACTCTCGATCTAGTCCACATTTATGTAAAATCCGGGAAATTATGTGAAGGGAAGCAGGGAGCCACCCCAGGTTGCTCCCAGGTGGCGCAAGAGCCACCTAATTTCGAAAAACACTTACCATTTTTTAAATTCACATAAGTTTCTCATAATTCTTCATACTTTTTTTGTGCTCATGGTCCTCCAACTATACGGCAAATTTGGTGCCATATCGTTACTTGGGCATTGAAAACGAGCCTATTTTGTTATTTTCCTCTTACAAGATTTGAATTCGCCTGCGGGCAGGCTAGCGATCGGAGCACAGAATCTTCACATTGCTGGAATCTAAGTTCATAGGACAGTAGCACTAACAAGGAATGATGAATAAAGAATGATATGTGTGTGCATTGTTTATCGGTAAACAAAGGGGAAGTCGTACGCCCCGGGCCCCAAAATACGACTTCCCCTTTGCTTTTTTGGGGCCAAAAACGATATCCAGCTTGTGAAAGCGCCACCCCCGCCGGGCCCTGCCCGAAAGTACCTGCGTAATTCAAACGAGGTTCACTGCAGCTTTTTAATTAGTAAACCTAAATTCATGATTTGGTAGATTCTATGGGTTAGCCACCGAGAACAAAGCCTTTGAAAATGTTGATAAAAATTTCGTGATTATGAGTTCGTTGCTAGAAAATCGTGGAAGGGCGCTGGCTAGGCCAAAAAAATGAGCAAAAATTGCTTACACAACAGAAGTCCATACGTTACCTTGGCAAGCTTCTTGTACGGTAACGCAAAAACAAAAAGATTTGTGAATAATATCATTTTAAAGACCCTCCCCCCACTGCATTTTTACAGCGGAAATACTTTTTAACGATTCAAAAAACGTCACAGTGTTCTAACTAGGCACTATGTCCAATTTCTGTTTCCAGACTGCTTCTGTGATGACCTGCATTGATAACAGGATTCATTTTGTGAAATGACGATTTGCAGAATTTTTTTTTTGCATTTCCATATGAATCTGATGCATGTCAAAGTAATATATAAGCTTCCGCTTTCCGCTATAAAATTTCTGCATATTTTTTGGGCTGGCTGCTTTACGCGATCTCCTGGCAGCAAACTCAAAATCACAATATTTGAAACGCCATCTTCAAAAGAGTCGTTCTAAGCGGTAGCTTACAGAATTCAAGCTTGAACATCCATTATGGGGCACGATCTTCTACTTAGGTTGGCTGAAAAATAAGTTTGGTCGCTTTTGGCGGTCTGCAGAATTGTCACAAATTAGTTTTCTTCTATATATATGGTACCATTGGAAAGAGCAAATCAAGGAGAATCGGATGGTTGACTCTGTTTTGTCAAAAATAATTTTTCTGAAATGAAATGGTGAAGGAAAGAAAATTGGTCAAATTTTTTCCTCAAAATTTCGAAAATCACGCTCCGAAAAACGAACTGAAATCAGATGTAAAGTGTAGATTCGCTGCCACAACAAATTTTTAAATTTCCACCAATTGCATGGCCATAAATGGCCAGATTCGAATTATCTGGAATGCCCAAAATAAAATTTTCTTAACTTCCAATGCAGAATTCAGAAACAGCAGGTCACAATCTCTCTTGTGGTTCGCCACCTAGCCAAAGGCTGTATGTATCCAGCCACCAAATTACTCGCCTGTGTACTCACTGCAGGCTGAAGAGATTTTCTAGAAGTCTGACCATACAAGGTCATAACTGTCAGTTTTTGGTAACAAAAAATGTTGACTATTTAAATATTTAAGAGTGTAGGCTTGAGGCTACCTTTTTACGACAAAATTTTAGCTGAATAGCTGTTACGTAAATTGTTATAAAGCTTTGAATCATGTCAAACCGAACTTATTTATTAGCCAACCTTTGGGGTACCAAAGCATGATTCAGTATAATATTTAATTTATTGATTTTCGTTTGAACTGCGCAAGAATTTTCAGGCCAACCTAACGGCAACTTTTTCTAGCTAAGTAACCTTGCCAAGTCACTATTTAACTTTGAATGTTTTCTTATAATTAGATTCAAACATTATCTGGCGCGGCCTAGACTTATTAGCAGCCAAGCTATTTATAGATAAAAAAAATAATTTATATACAATAATCTACTTCTGCAGTGATTTGGCAAATCCCATACGCTTCTGTCCAATATCGTAGATGTTGCAATATTGACGAATGAATGGATCACCAAGAATCCATGATGGTCCGAAACCTCCGAATTCGAATGGGAAGATTGCGAACAAGCATTGGTTAGTGCCAGCCTGTAATAGGTAAGGATACGCGGTTGGTCCTGAAACGCACGAATGTTCATGAGCTTGAACTTACGCTGACGATGTAGTTAACGGGGTCAATGCTGTATTTGTTGCTTCCGATAGTGATGTCAAGAGTAGGTGGCTTGGCCGTGCAAGGAATGGTGTAAGATTCTTGAAGGGCGCTGTACTGAAATGGGAGGGAAATAGTTGTGCTTGATAGACCATATACCAGTAACCAGTAATCTAAGGGTGAGCGTTTGGGAAGAGTGTTCGTTTCGACCAGCTGCGGTTTCCCACTATTGGAAGGTTTTTGAATTCAGTTAACGATTTCTTATATATTAGATTGAAGAAGTGGAACATACAGAGGTCTTCATAAATGTCATGGTTGGCGTGTCTCTCGCCACGTCCACCCTCCGTGGATACGGTATTTACCCACGCTTGAGGCATGGGAAATACCGTATCTTCAGGCATTTATGGCTTTATTGGAAAAATAGACACGTTCGCGAACGCGTCGAATGGTTCAAGCGAGGCGGTTTGAGAGCACTCGAGTCGCGTCAACCGTGATACTCAGATTGGAATCTCCTGTATCCTTCTTATGTATCTTATATACACCGTTTGGCGATAACTGATTCTCATTAGAAAAACAGGAAAAAATTGAGACGTTTTTTCCATCTGTTTGATTTTCACTAGTGATGATGATTAGTCAGACCGAATCTAATTATTACATTTAAGACTACAGAAACTCTATAACAAATGTCTTTACCTTGGCTCCAGCTGCTTTGGCAAGAGCATCAGTCACAGTCTTGGGTCCTCCGATGAAAGAGGTGCCAGTGTCAGAGATGACGTCATAAACCTTTGAGCTCGTGTATGATCCCATTCCGATTGCGGCCATCTAAATTCCATTAATTAGGATTTTACTTCGAGCAGGTTCTTTTGGTTTCTAACCTTGAATTGGTAGTAAGTTGCAGATGACAAGGGTTGGTAAGCAATGACTGGTCCACAGTTTTTGGTATCAACGGCTCCATAGGTAAAAAGTCCACCGACGGTACCTTCAAGCTTTCCTCGGTGCTCCATCCATACGGTGAACAGCGGTTGGGTGAGCAGGTCTGAAGACGGTAAACAATAGGGGGGAAGTATGATTTGATTCTCAGATTTTCTTACTCTGATTGATGGCGTTGATGAGTGGTGGTACAACTTTGTCTACAGCAAGGGAAGTAAAAGCAAGACCAAGGATGCCATCAGTTGGGTCCTACAAAGACTCATTTTTCCACTAGATAAAGGTTTGAAAAATTCGTGCAAATAACCTACATTCTTGAAATCCGACGAAATATGTGTAGCCAGTCCGAAGGTGGTTTTTGGAACAATGAGTTGCTTATCACTCGGTCCACCGAATTTCACGGTATCTGTGCCAAGAACACCCTTAGCATCTCCAGAACCGTAGGTGATAGTCCATGTCTTCGTGCTGCTTACGAAGGTGGTGGATTTTGTTGAGACAAACTTGTGCTTCTTATTGCATGATGTGCTAGAACAGAGAACTATAATGTTATCTTTGGAATGTGGTGTAGTGAGAGATAAGCGCTTCAGGTTGAAAGTTTTGCTGGACTTGATAAGAAATCGCTTTTCTATCAAACCAATCCCCGCAATAAATCGAATCACATGGTAAATGATTTTGATATTTCTGCTTGTCCTGAAAGTTCGTTGGGGACAATTTTGAATTTCATTATTTCTTACTTTCCCAAATTATTTGTGCAACTCTACATCTATGTAAAAGACGAAATCATGCGCTTTGCAGTAGCACCTGAGTGACTTTCTTACATGCAAACATTAGAGATAGAAAGTTCTAGAAAAAAAATACTCAATTATTGATTTTTTCTGTGTAGAATTCCCAAAAATCTAAACTTTGTACTAACCGAAACACTTGGTACAATAAGTCTTATGACCTCTGCTCTTTCTAACCGAGAAAACTTTGCGTTAACTGAGCTGACCGAATCTTATTTCTTTAGAATAAGTGCCAAAGCAATCAAATTAGCCGTTTTGTACTGCTTGAGTGAAAATAACTTTTTATAGAAAAGCAGAACTAACAATTTTTGCTCAAATGGAAAGAGCAAGTCTTAAACTTATATGTCTTTTATGTGTAGAGTGTTTGCATGATAGAAAGTTTCTCATATGATATTGCAAAGCGCATGATTTCTTCTTTTAGAAGTATTAAAGTTATGCAAAACCTTCTAGAAACTAAGAAGTTTTAAATTTTTGAAAATGGTGTGAAATTTTGCGCCAACTCAGTATATGAATTATCATTGATAGTTGAGAGATAGTAAAAAAAGTCGCATTGAAGCTCTACAATCAAGCTTTGCATCTGGAAAGAAAATTCAATAGAGGAGTGTTGTAAAAAATGCACTTGACCATTTTTTCGAGAAACCCATTTTTATAGCCTTTTTGAGTGAAAAAATATAAGCTAGTACAGCTACACTTACTCGCAAGCAGTCTCTGGTACCCAAAGATTGGCCGATCCAGTATCTAGCACAACCATGAAGTTTTGGTCTGGAGTACCGATGGAGATGTTGCCGATGTACTCATAGTCTCCATAGTCGAATACCTAACCCAGAAAATTGCTCTAGCTATGGAAAAACAGTTGAAAATTTCTTGCTCACCTGTTGTGAGCCAGTGCTAGCAAGATTTGCAGCTCTGAGTGCGTTACGATACTCCAAGAATGCTGCATATTCTCCTCGTTCGATCATTTCGATCTGGAAAAAAACTTTTAAGCTTTTCTTTTTCGGCTGAGCTGACAACTTACCTTCCTGGATTTTCTCCAGATGAGCTGATGCTCATGGACAGCAGCCGCTGCGAGCTCGACCAGGGCAAGGAGAATAGCAAAATGCATTCTAAAATGCGGTAAAATTACAATTTTCTAGAAGGTATAAAATTAGACTTGAATTTGCATTGTCGACCACTATTGCTACAGAAAAATGTCTCAAAAGTGTAACTCAGCATGACCAAAAAAGACAGCTTCAAAAATTTTTAAAATTTGGCGATTTTTATAGAAAGTATACTTCATGGCGTGTAACAATTTTCCATTTTAGTCTCCTATGGCCCCGGACAGACTTCACGCGATTTGATCGTCGCGACTCAATCGCCGACATTTCCAATCATTTTCATTTCACATTCAAAAATTTCGGGCTGGAAAAGTATCACAACCGAAATGCAAGTTGATCGGCATGGGATGATGTTGTAACAGTTGTCTCGTCGCGATTCAGTCGCGACGACCAAATCGCGTGAAGTCTGTCCGGGGCCTATTGAACAGAAAAAATCTTGCGAGTTTTTGCTTACAGCGAAATCAGAAAAAATATACTTATAGACCTTATACAGGCTCAATTCAAGTTGGGTATAAAAGCGCATTACTGCCGCAAAAGAGTGATAACAGCACTGAAAAAGCTCAGTCAAGGCGCGATAAGGTGAGACTGTGTTATCGCAACGGCTTTTATACCCAGTCACATTGACGTAACTGCCCGAAGTACGATAAGAATTTACAACAATGGGCTGCGCCCGATCTGCTTATCTGAACTAGGAATTAAGGTTGCAGCAAAATGCAGCTCTGAATAGCGTGTAGCTGAGGCTTTACTACATTACTTTTCGTCATGAAATAGGTTGCGAAATATTCGTTAGCGCATGTTTATAGGCGCCAAAAACGAAACCGTCTCAGCGAGGAGTCAAGCTTGATTTTTGTTCTCTCAGATATACGCCATTGTGATTTGGCTGGAAGGGGGGGGGGGGGAGGGGTAAATTCGCAATTTTCTCTGTAGAAGAAACCAAGACATAGTTTTTGTCTGTGTCAAGAGGGTAGAAGTTACAGAATCGCACATTTTTATCTTTTCTGGAAGCTCTCTTAAATAGAAACATTGCAGTGATGTTAAGCTAACGTCTAGCTTTTATACCACTAAGAATTGGATGTTTGAGAGATTCGAAACTATGCAGGTGTCTACGTTTCTATCACAAACATTGCTTTTTCTAGTCCTTACATCTCTAGCATTGAAGTATGTTTACAGTATTCTGTGACATAAAACCAAAGTTTTTTTTACCGATTCTGTGTTTAAATTTTTCTTTTTACGCTAATGATTTTAGCGCAACCTGCAGGATTAGTAGCATAAAAAAATGGGCTTGCTACCTTGTAGAAAAGTTTTAAGACGTAAGAACACTCATTAGTTACTAGTGTTACTGAAAGAACAGATCGTCTTGCAAAAGCCACACCTCTGCTAACCAACTGAAGTCTAACAATTCCATTCTTTCTCAGACAACCGACCGGAACTTTCGCAAAGCGTTTGGGGAATATCCGCCGAGTCACCTGCGGAAGTTCGTAAACGTGCTGCGGAAGTTCCCAAATGAGGTGCAGCGGAAGTTCCGAAAATTGAACCACAACAGCAAAAGACAACACTTAAGCGAGATTTGAACCTTACTCTATTCACTGTGAGACTCACCTACTATCTTCCGCACTATAACTGACATATTCGATAATGCACTCCAATTGTTAGCGAGGCAACATCATACGAGACAACACATTCAAAACCTTGAGGAAGTACTGGCATGTCGAAGTGCTGCGGAACCGCTGGCATTTTTAGGAAGTTCCGCAGCGCTTTGTGAAAAGTCCTGCAGAAATTCTCGTTTTTAGCTAGTCTGATGTGAAAATTCCGCGAAAATTCCCAAATTTTAAAGTCTCCTCTTTTGTAATAGTAAACAAAATCCAGCGGAACCGCCGAGGTTTTGCTTGTCCTGCGGAAATTTCGGTGAATTGTCTGAGTTGGTCGAATCGTCGTCAGCGGGTGTATTCATACTCAACGAAACATGACGGAATCTGTATTACTCTTCTGTTGTTCAAGAACATTAAAATACTTTCTTAGATTTGCTTACTCATCGTCACTACTCCGCGAGGAATGTTCTAGCTAGGGAAAAAGCGAATCTAGGAATGGAAAGAGCGTAAGACTAATTTTCTTCCCTAAAACAGCCTCATAAGGAATGAATTTTTGGTCGAAGTAGCCTTTTCGCTGAGCTTTAGGCCATTTTGTAGAGAATCAGACTTGATTGCAAATCTGTCTTTGGTATCTGCTGCGCGCCTCTGGACGCCGAGTTATGAGGGGTTTTTTTTGTGTCGAAGAATGAATTCATAATCTGGATAAAATTATTCGTTACGGTCCCTCCAGCGCTCAAATAGAGCAGTGGCGACTGTGAGTTTACTAGTTAAAAAGTACCAATGCATAAAGTGCCCTGATACCCAACCTGGCCCATCTGAGTTTGAATGATTTTGCTTCAATTAGCGTTCATTTTTTTCGAAACAAAAAACGTTCATAACTTGGCGTCCAGAGGTGCACAACAGAAGACACCGATTTGGTCCTCTCCGTAACTTCATAGATTTCATTTAATGGCCACTTCGACTGAAAATGCTTTCTATGTTAGTGGGAAAAAAGTCTGCATAATGGAAAAGTACCGAGAAATTCTATGGAACCATTCTCGGGATTAGAAAGCTTCAAACGTTACTTGAATCTCGCCAGCAAGGTTTTGTGACAAAAAATCGAGTGTTAGTTCTCATATAAAAGCTCTTCCTTTGCGTAAATATGAGCATGACCTTCTCCTATCTTCATGAGGGACTTTCCGAATAGTACCTTATTTACTAAGAATATCGCCTTTGTATACAGCATGATCATTAACGACTTATGTGTAGTCCCTTAGAAAAGCTTCGGTACACACGTGTTGTCAAAATAGCAACGATATTTTATTTTAACACTAGTCACGAACTACATACACGTCATGAGGCCGAAGTGACTCTGGCTATAAGCATGTCCTTTTGTCACTGGTTGAAACTGGGAGAGGAACGGAGGGGGACGCTCGTTACGTGCTCGTTGAAACTGCAATCCTCTTTGTTCTTTGACTGAGTGTATCAATACCTGGAAAAATCTGAGATCTCTTTCGGACATGATTTTCACACAGTTTTCATATTAATGCACACTTACTGAAAACACGCTTAGGTCTTCGAAGAAGTTTTCGGAATTCTGCATTGAACCCAAGTATAACTAGCCTAAAAGCTTTCACCATTAAGAATTCGAAGAAGAGACTTTCTTACTTACGAATCACTGCAATCTTATATATAAAGCTGAATGTCTGTTTGTCTGTCTGTATGTCTGTCTGTATGTACGTATGTTCCGAATAGAAAATTCCATTTCTGAACCGATCCGGACCAAACTTGGCACACATACACTACGGGCCCCGGCGGTTGTCATAGGCTACTTTTCGTCATCGATCGATATCGATTTTATCGATTTTTATCGATTTTTTTGCTGAGTCCACCTACGGGGCTGGGAGTTGGCACAGGGGGGTAATCGAGCATGGGGATTCCGAATACAATATTGGTTTTCAGGATTATCGATTACTTTTATCGATTTTATCGATTTTTTTGCAAAGTTTGAGCTACGGGGCTGGGAGTTCGCACAGGGGGGTAATCGAGCATGGGGATTCCGAATACAATATTGGTTTTCGGGATTATCGATTACTTTTATCGATTTTATCGATTTTTTTGCAAAGTTTGAGCTAGGAGGCTGGGAGTTGGCACAGGGGGGTAATCGAGCATGCTGATCACTCCCAAGGGGGGTGATCAGCATGTTCGATTACACTCCTGTGCCAAATTCCAGCCCCCTAGCTCAAATTTTCAAAAAATCGATAAAATCGATAAAAGTAATGGACGATCTTGAAAACTAATATTGTATTCGTAATCTGCATGCTCGATTACCCCCTGTGCAAACTCCCAGCCCCGCAGGTCAAACTTTACAAAAAAATCGATGAAATCGATAAAAGTAATGGACGATCCTGAAAACTAATATTGTGTTCGTAATCAACATGCTCGATTACCCCCTGTGCAAAATCCCAGCCTCGCATGTCAAAATTTACAAAAAATCGATAAAACCAATAAAAGTAATCGATAATTCTGAAAACTAATATTGTATTCGGAATCCCCATGCTCACTTCTCCCCCTGTGCCAACTCCTAGCCCTGTAGGTGAACTCTGCAAAAAAATCGATAAAAATCGGTAAAATCGACGTCGATCGATAACGAAAAGTGGACTGTGACACCCGCCGGGGCCCGAAGTGTATGTGTGCCAAGTTTGGTCCGGATACGGCGGAGCCGGGTAAGCCAGCTAGTGCACTATATTCCAGGCTGCTGTTGTCAGCGCCCACACAATCCATTTGTTTTCAAAATGCCATGCGAGATAGAAGTATGTAAAAAGTTCAACAGCAAACACTATACCTTGCATGACAGCCTGAAAATCTCATAATTTTGCGTGTTCAAAATTTCATTCTACCGATTACCTGTTTCAAGAAATTGATTTCGTTCTTACGCCTGCGATCGCTATCCGTTCTTCCACTTCTTCGCATCTGGAAGAAAAAAACCTTAAAACGATTCGCATCCATTTGCCACCTTCTGTCATACCTCGGCATTGGTTATGTGCACTTTCAACATTGTTAGAATATCCACAACAGCAATTACTACGACTATAGATAAGTCGTTGTAAAAGTTAATATTCCAGGATATGAACTTGCACTCCTGAAATGAGAGAGTGGACTTCAAGACTTTCAGCGAGAACGAGTCTCTTCATTTGTGGTCTATGACCTCAATAACATATTTATAAACTTAAACACGGCTCGGCACAGCTGGCACCGAGCCAAGCTTGATATTGCTTTTGGAGCGAAAAGCAAATGGGATAT